GTGATTTCTGAGAGGGAAGACAGCAGAAGCAAGAAGAACTACAATCCTGCAGACTGTGGAACAAAAACCACATTCACAGAAAGACAGACAAGATGAAAAGGCAGAGGGCTATGTACCAGATGAAGGAACAAGATAAAACCCCAAAAAACAACTAAATGAAGTGGAGATAGGCAACCTTCCAGAAAAAGAATTCAGAATAATGATAGTGAAGATGATCCAGGACCTCAGAAAAAGAATAGAGGCAAAGATCGAGAAGATGCAAGAAATGTTTAACAAAGACCTCGAAGAATTAAAGAACAAACAAACAGAGATGAACAATACAATAACTGAAATGAAAACTACACTAGAAGGAATCAATAGCAGAATAACTGAGGCAGAAGAACGGGTAAGTGACCTGGAAGACAGAATGGTGGAATTCACTGCTGCGGAAGAGAATAAAGAAAAAAGAATGAAAAGAAATGAAGACAGCCTAAGAGACCTCTGGGACAACATTAAACGCAACAACGTTTGCATTATAGGGGTCCCAGAAGGAGAGAGAGAGAGAAAGGACGAGAGAAAATATTTGAAGAGATTATATTCAAAAACTTCCCTAACGTGGAAAAGGAAATAGCCACCCAAGTCCAGGAAGCGCAGCGAGTCCCATACAGGATAAACCCAAGGAGAAACACGCCGAGACACATAGTAATCAAACTGGCGAAAATTAAAGACAAAGTATTGAAAGCAGCAAGGGAAAAACGACAAATAACATACAAGGGAACTCCCATAAGGTTAACAGCTGATTTCTCAGCAGAAACTCTACAAGCCAGAAAGGAGTGACATGATATACTTAAAGTGATGAAAGGGAAGAACCTACAACCAAGATTACTCTACCTGGCAAGGATCTCATTCAGATTCAATGGAGAAATCAAAAGCTTTACAGACAAGCAGAAGCTAAGAGGATTCAGTACCACTGAACCAGCTCTACAACAAATGCTAAAGGAACTTCTCTAAGTGGGAAACACAGAGAAGCAAAGGACCTACAAAAACAAGTCCAAAACAATTAAGAAAATGGTCATAGGAACATACATATTGATAATTACCTTAAACGTGAATGGATTAAATGCTCCAACCAAAAGACACAGGCTTGCTGAATGGATACAAAAATAAGATTCGTATATATGCTGTCTACAAGAGACCCACTTCAGACCTAGGGACACATACAGACTGAAAGTGAGGGGATGGAAAAAGATATTCCATGCAAATGGAAATCAAAAGAAAGCTGGAGTAGCAATACTCATATCAGATAAAATAGACTTTAAAATAAAGAATGTTACAAGAGACAAGGAAGGACACTACATAATGATCAAGGGATCGATCCAAGAAGAAGATAAAACAATTATAAATATATATGCACCCAACATAGTAGCACCTCAATACATAAGGCAACTGCTAGCAGCTATAAAAGAGGAAATTGACAGTAACACAATAATAGTGGGGGACTTTAACACCTCACTTACCCCAATGGACAGATCATCCAAAATGAAAATAAATAAGGAAACAGAAGCTTTAAATGACACAATAGACCAGATAGATTTAATTGATATTTATGGGACATTCCATCCAAAAACAGCAGATTACACTTTCTTCTCAAACGTGCACAGAACATTCTCCAGGATAGATCACATCTTGGGTCACAAATCAAGCCTCAGTAAATTTAAGAAAATTGAAATCATATCAAGCATCTTTTCTGGCCACAACGCTATGAGATCAGAAATGAATTACAGAGAAAAAAATGTAAAAAACACAAACACATGGAGGCTAAACAATACGTTACTAAATAACCAAGAGATCACTGAAGAAATCAAAGAGGAAATCAAAAAATACCTAGAGACAAATGACAATGAAAACATGATGATCCAAAACCTATGGGATGCAGCAAAAGCAGTTCTAAGAGGGAAGTTTATAGCTATACAAGCCTACCTCAAGAAACAAGAAAAATCTCAAATAAACAATCTAAGCTTACACCTAAAGGAACTAGAGAAAGAAGAACAAACAAAACCCAAAGTTAGCAGAAGGAAAGAAATCATAAAGATCAGAGCAGAAATAAATGAAATAGAAACAAAGAAAACAATAGCAAAGATCAATAAAACTAAAAGCTGGTTCTTTGAGAAGATAAACAAAATTGATAAACCATTTGCCAGACTCATCAAGAAAAAGATGGAGAGGACTCAAATCAATAAACTTAGAAATGAAAAAGGAGAAGTTACAACAGACACCGCAGAAATACAAAGCATCCTAAGAGACTGCTACAAGCAACTCTATGCCAATAAAATGGACAACCTGGAAGAATTGGACAAATTCTTAGAAAGGTATAACCTTCCAAGACTGAACCAGGAAGAAATAGAAAATATGAACAGACCAATCACAAGTAATGAAATTGAAACTGTGATTAAAAATCTTCCAACAAACAAAAGTCCAGGACCAGATAGCTTCACAGGTGAATTCTATCAAACATGTAAGTGATTTCTGCCCAATATGAAAGATAACCCCAAAGGTTATGTTTTATGACCTTATAAGGCTGTTAACCAGCTTTGATTCTAACTGCCTCTTATCCCCACATTTTTTCTCCAGTGCCTGTCTTCCTAATTCTGCTGATTACCATCCTGCTTGTTCCTCATTAATGAGTTGAATAAATCTGTGATACAGGTTCCTTCTAAGATTTGTGTGAGGGTAATTTTTTTTTAACTTTTTGGAAATTACACTTTGACTTTAGGATCAGGAAAGGACTTTTAAGAAGGCTGACTTGTATCTATAAAGAGATACGAGCGAATAATGCATCCATTAAAATAAGCTGCTCTGAAAAATAAATTCAAGAGCCAGAAGCAATCCTGGGAATTAAAAAGACACAGAGGAGAGGAACGCTTCCATTAGGGGCAGTAAATGGAGAAAAGGACATCGTTAGTGATTCAGAAGGCCGAGTCAAGGAATTCTCTCCAAGTACAGATGAAATCTGTGAGAGAAATGAGGAAAAATGCAGAGAATAGAGGAGGGAAATAACCGCTTACTGGGAATTCCAGGAGAGAGCAGAGAAGGATGGGCAATCACCAAAGAAGATACAGAAGATTTTTGTTTCTGACTTGAAGGAATACATGAGTCTTGAGTTCCAAAAGGCCCCACAGGGAGCAGTTCTTCACTTACACCTGCCCTTGTGAAATCTCTGAATTCTGAAGGTGAGGAGAAAACCTACAAGCTTCTAGCAAGGAAAAAGCAGGCTGTCTCCCAAGAAAAAAGAACCAGATCTATAGTGGCCTCAGCTGCAATACTATGGTGTTGATTTGGCTGGTATCATGGGCAGGGTTCTGAGGGAGAAAAATTATGACTCTAGAACAGTACAGACAAAAACTGCCCTTCACCCACAAAGATCAAAGGAATATATGTTTGGACAGGCAAGACTGAAAGATGACACTATCCAAACACCTTTTCTTTTTAAAAAAAACTACTTAAGGATGTCCTCCAGCCAAACTAAAATGAGAATGAAGAATTTGACAAACGGGTGACACATCTCCCAGCATAGGAATCCCAGCATTAACCTCTAGTTTGGTCTAAATCATCGCTGATAATGTGGTTGTGGAACTGAATACAGCTCTGAGGAAAGGATACTCAGAAGAGCTGCCACATTTTAAAGAACACCAGTGAGTGGACCACTGCCCTTCAGGACTCATCTGTGGAATTCAGCATATACTTGGTGATAGCAATTCCCCATCTCAGCCATGTGCCTGGCCACCCTCCCTGCCCCTTCTCAAGGGCATCACACACGTATGCTGGCATGCACACATATGCAAATGTACATGCTCTCACAGATACTGACACGTGTATACATTCACACACACACTCGTGGGCCTCCAGCCTTTTTGTCTCCCCCCTTCTCACCTCTGCCATATTGACCATTACTGGGCATGGTTAACACCTGCTCATCCTTCAGCTCTTATGTGTGTGTCACCTCCTCAGGCAAGTCCTCAAGCTCCCGAGCCTGCAGCCTGGCCCAGAAATGCTCTCAGAAAATCATAACATTTTCCCAGAGCTCTGGTCTCAGCGTGTGGCACGTTCACCCATGTGGCTGCTGGATGCCTCTTTCCAGACGGTAGTTGGGAAGGACAAGGCCTATGTCTGGGTTTGCCATCCTCCATACCCCACATCAAGGACAGTGCTGACCCTTAGTAGGAGCTCAGTCAACCCCTGGCTGTTGGATGAATGTGTGAATGGGCCACCAGCCTGGTTTGACCCAGGAAAGCAAGGACAAGGCACAGAGCAGAGTCCAAAATGCTCCAAACAAGCTGAGTTGTCACCTGGCCTCTCTCTGACTGTAGCTTAAGTCTTGGCAGAAATAACCACAGTTTGGAGTCAGACAGTACTTGAGTCTGTGCTGGATCTCTGACTTGCTGAGTGATCTAGATTGATATAATAATAATAATAGCTGCGATTTCCCTGGTGGTCCAGTGGTTAAGACTCCATGCTCCCAGTGCAGGGGGCCCAGGTTCGATCCCTGGTAAGGGAACTAGAACCCGCATGCCGCAACTAAAGATCCCGCATGCCTCAACTAAAGATCCTGCACGCGGCAACGGAGCTCCCGTGTGCACAGCCAAAAAAACAAATAAATATTTTAAATAATAATAGCTAACATTTATTGGGTGTTCACTTTGATGTAGCTACTATTCATTATATTATCTCCATTTCACAGATGAGGAAACTGAGGCTTAGAAAGGTTAAGTGGCTTTCTCAAGGTCGTAGTTAGTATAAAACAGACCCAGTATCAGCTGACAGTGCAGGAAGACACATGATTTACCCGAATGGGGAGGTATGAATGTCTGTCTGTCCAGGCCATTCAGGGAAGGGACATAATTCCTTTCTTTGCAGGCATCCAGGAAGGACCCAGACAATACCACACAGCTTCATCAATATTACCAAGAAGCCCCAGGGATTATTCAAATTATGTCTGGCATGTACCAGAGGCTAGGACCTACCCTGCCATGACAATGAAGAAATCCAGTCGGTTCCATGTGTCCCCAAGGTAGCACTTCTTGCCAAAAATGCCCAGGGCCACCATCTTGAGCACCATTTCCATGGCAAAGAAGACAAAGATGAAGTCATCAAAGACCTGCAGGGGCAGGAGGAAGGGAAGAAGCAAGGGACAGCATGAGGCTCTGGAGCAGGACCCAGGGTCAGAGCCATGCTGCGAGGTGTGAACGTGGGCACGGACACGAGGGGCCAGGGAAAGACCTGGAAACTTCTCCTAGGCAGGGAGAGAACCTCAGAGATCCTCATCCAATGGAGTCATTTCACAGACGAGGAGACTGAGGCCCAGAATGGGGAATGAACTTGCCCAGGGTCATCCAGCCCACTCTATTTGTTCCCTAAACGCAAGCGTAATGACAAGGGACCCAGATGGGAGTGGGGCAAAGGGGGTCTACCTGATAATCGCCATGCCCTGGGCTAGACACTTGACCTCTTCGATTCTCACAATGACCCCATGAATGCTCCCATTTTACAGATGAGGAAACTGGAGGCCAGATTGTTTAAGTGACTTGCCACAGGTCACACAGCAGTGAATGGCAGACCAGAAATGACACTCGGGTCTATCTGACTCCAAAACCTACATGGAAGGAGCTTTCTCAAGACAGGCCTGACACCCCAGTGGGCACAGGTCTCAGTGCTGCCTTCTTCCGCTCAGAAAGGAGGCTCCCAGTATGTCCCTAGTCATGGGCTCAGGTGAGTGTATATTTCCTGAGGACGGGGCCTGGGTGGGCTTCCTCTTCCCAAGATCAATGAGGGCTACAGTCAATTCAACAAGTGGGTGCTGAGCACCTTCTGTGGGCAGCACACAGGCTGGGTGCTGGGGACACAGAGGCGAGTGCTCGGTAAACTCACCACCTGGTAGGGAAGCCAGCCTAGTATCCACCGAGGCTAACTGGTTCTCACTCTACCCAGGGCCCTGGGGCTCGCTGAGGAGCATGTTACCCACTTGGACCCCAGACCCACCCCAGAGATTCTAATTCTACCGGTTTGGGATGGGTCAGGGGTCTGGATCTTTGACTAGTGCCCCAAGGGAATCTGAGGCTTTGGGCTGCTTGGAAACTGCTGAGTCCTGTGGGAACACAGGAAGCAGAGGGCAATTCCTCCCAGGAGGAATCTGACTTTCTCAGGGAGACAGAATTGGATGTTTACACATCTGTAAAATGGGTATAAACCTAACACCCTGCACTATGGGTATACATGTGCCACAGGGGCCAAACGTCAGGCTTCCACCTGGAACTATGGGTGTACGTGTGCCACAGGGACCAAACGTCAGGCCTCCATCTGGAACCTCGGTGAGATGAGAACAGGAGAGGTCCAGGAGGCCACTCCTAAAGGCATAGACAGAGTTATGGAGCTTGGCCTTTATTCCATGAGCACTGGGAGCAAAGGGCAGGCTTTCTGCAGGGAGAGTCCAGTCACTTGTGCTTTACTGGATGGGGGGTAGGGGTGGGGAGAACAGGAGGAAGCTGACGGTGGGAGATAAAGGGCGCGTGGACTAGGGCAGAGACCTCGAGATAGAGAGGATGGAAGGGAAATGGGTAAGACCAGCTGGGAGTGAGGAAGAAGAGGACAAGAGAGAGGGCAGGCCACGTGGTGAAGATGTAGCTGGGCAGGGTGGGGCGGGGCATGGCGAGAATGGGCGGGGCATGGCGAGAATGGGCGGGGCATGGCAGGAGGGGCGGGGCATGGCAGCCGGCCTCACCTGTAGGATCTTGCAGCGTTCTGACAGGCAGTCCATGTCGTCGCACGGCTGGTACATGCCAAGTGTCACGCAGTTCAGCAGGATCACCAGCATGCTGATACATTCAAACCACGTGCGCACAAGTCAAGGACAAAACCGCTGGGGGACCGTGTGCACCACCCCCCACAAACACAGGGCCACCCCATTTCCCTACAGGTGCCTCCCCTGATGGGTCAACGCCCACATTTTCAAAGACCTTGGAGGCCTTGGAGCCGGCCCACCCCTCTCACAACAGACAGGGCCACATGTGCCAAATCCGCCAGGGAACCCAAACCCCACCAAGCCACCGCCTGCCAGGACGCCCCACCGCCTTGCCCCAGCCTGAGAGTTCCCCTCAGACCCAGAAAGGGAGAGGTCCCCAGAGGCCCAGCTGGCGAGCCATCTCCGGACCACCCCAGCCGCCCTGTCTCTGACCACCTCCCTCTGACTGTGTTTGCCTCCCTTCTCTGACCATCCTTCGTCTCCACAACCCACGGCCCCGCCATCTCTGCCCGACCCCTGGAGCTGAAGCCTGCAGAGGGCCCGCCCAGTGTGGCTGAGATTGGCTGGACACCCTGTCCTTCTCTCCTCTCCTGTGGCTGCGTTACAACTCATGACCAGACTCAGGCACGTCTGTGCCTAGGCCCTCCCCAGTCCCTGCACCAGGCGGGATGGGGCTCAGCCGCCTCGGGCCTGTCCGGGCAGAAGGTCTCCTGCAGCCACCAGCCTTGGGCAGGGCCTCAGGGGCACGTGCTTGGACCCAGACGAGTGGGCTCCCCAGGCCAGGCTGCTCTCCTCACTAACACCCTCCTCCTTCCTGACTGGCTCCTGCCCAGTCTTAGAACACAGCCCACTGATGTTCAGCCCCACCCCTCCCAATCCACCTAGAGTCCTAGAACCAGGGGGGGGGGGGGGGCAGAGCTCGAAGGGACCTGAGGGCCTGGGTCATTCATAAGTTATCTTGCTGATATGCTCATGGTCTTTATCGACTACTAGAACCGACATTCCAGGGGGACGGGGGGTTACATTCACAGCCCTGACAGGGACAGGCATCTAGGAGGAGTTCAGTAAATGTCTGTTGTGATTCAGTCAATCTCTCTAGGCGCTGCCCACTCTGATGCCCAAGATTCTTGAGTGTCCTCAAATGAAAGCCCTGGACCATCAATTTCAAAGCCCTTGCCCTGAGCTCAGATGTAGCTATGGAGGCCAGACCCCTAGCCAGACCCCATCCAGTGCAGGGGGCGGGGCGTACCTCTTGCCTGATGGAAGACTGACCTGGTTTCCTTGGCAACGAACTCCCTCCCGTCCCCGGCCCTTGCTCACCTTGGGATGCTGCCTTCCCTCCCGCCTTCCCCTCAGACCCTCCTCGCCCCAGCCCTGCTCCTTCCTGCCCCCCCCCAAACCTCTGTCACTCTCCTGCCACAGCCTGTAATTAACGTCAGTCGCTGCCAGGGCCCCCTTCTAGCCTGAGCGTCGCTCCAGCAGCAGCTTCATCATTAATTAAGTTTTTTGAAGTTCAAAAGTTCTAATTACCAGCGAACGTCCCCCACCCCCTTGCCTTTCCCCCCTGCCTGTTGTGCTCGCTCTCCTTCCAGCCACCTCTTCTGCTCCCTCTGCCCTTCCCGCCAGTTTCATGTTCAAAGTGCACTTGGCAGGTGTCTTCCTGGCACTCCCACTTCTTCCTCACCAAGGCCCTGAGCAGTGGAGGTCAGCAGGCCCATTTTACAGATGAGGAAAACTGAGACTTAGAGAAACAAGGGGCCTCTCCTAGGTCACACAGCTGGAAAGCACTGGTGCTGAGGTTCACACCAGGCCTGCTCTCCTCTGTAACGGAGGGCCCATCTCTGCCTGTGTCTTCACCACCCCTCCCTGAGGCCCCAGCCCATCCTCAGCGTCTCTCACCTGGACCCTGCACAGTCTCCCCGATAGCTTCCAGCTCTGGTCTCTGCCCCTCCAATCTGCCCTGCACACAATCCCCAGGCGCTTGCTGTGTGGCCAACACTATCCGAGCTCTTTGCAAGTGTCACCTCATTTAATCCTCCAGCACTGTTATAAGCCCCATTTACAAGTGAGGAAACTGAGTCACAAAAGGGAACACAATTTGCCCAAGGACCCCAGCTGGGAAAAGGCAGAGCTGGGATACAAAACCAGAGCCTGCTTTCCTTGCCCCCAAGCTATTTCATCTCCGCCAGATTCATGTGTCTGAAGCACAGCTCTGAGGCTACCTCTCCCCTGTTCAGAAAGCTTCCATGGCTCTCCATCACCTTCCCTGGTCTGACACTCAAGGCCTCCTGCTTTCTGACCTCACTGAACTCTTCTGGCCTTACCTCCCACCAGCCTTCGCATGCATTGCACTTCTTGCTGTCCCCAAGCATACGCTTTGCATGTATTTTCTTCTACCATCTTTACTAGGCAAACTCCTACTCATCCTTCAGGTGACAGCCCAGGTCATTTGTCACCTCTTCTTGAAGCTGCCCTTGAAGCACCTTTCCCCACGCACAGAGCGGTGGCTCAGCGCCCTCTCCGGAAGTGCTCACACCCACCTGGTCTAGTTCGTATCACAGTAATGAACTTGGCACTGATCACGACTACTGTATGCCAGGCCCCTAGGGGCATGGCCCCAACGCTCATCACAGCCCACTGGGGCAGGTGGAGAAACGGTCTGGAGAGCTGGAGTGACCTGTCCAAGGTCACACAGTCAGTAAGGTCTGACTTAGTGGTGCGGGAGCCGCTGCCACGGGGGTGCCTCTGTGGCTCATCCCTTGAAGGGGCTTCACCTCTAGATTGCTCAGCTTCAGACACTCAGTCTCAGCCCTGCCCCGAGGCGCTGGGGGAAATCCCAGGTGGCACAGCCTGGGCCCTTTCCAGGAGCCCATGAGGCTCAGAAGTCAGGCCAGAGCTGGCATCGCTGCCCGTGGTTCCTGACACGCTCGCCACTGGCTTGGGGATCAAAGGCACCAGCCCTCCTTGAAGTTAAACCAGACCGCATGGTGCGGGATCGGAGAACGTCAGAGGGAGTAAAGGTCGCGGGCTGAGCAACGTGGTGGCCTGGCCCAACGCCCAGTGTTGCCATCATTAGTCACAAGCACGGAGGAGCTCCAAAAGCCATCAGGCAAAGCTCCGGGGCTCTGGGACAATGTGAGGGAGGACAGAGGCCCAGAGAGGGCGGTAAGGGATTCCGGGGAACAGCGCAGGCAGGGGGCCTGAGTGCCAGCTCCACGAGGGCAGTGGCTTGCTTGTCAACGGCCCTGCGTTACCTCCCACAGCGAGGCTCAGGGCCCCTGTCTGGCACCTGAGGCTCTGCAGTTAGGACCCTGCCCCCTTGCCCACTTCGTCACCCAGACTTGCATCCCTCTCTGGGTGACCTTTGTCACAGAACAACCCCATCCAGGTCCTCAGAGAGCCCCTGACCCCATCCCCCACTGCACAGAGGGGACACAGAGGGGCAGAGAGCATCCAGCAACACGGCGAGCCTGGATCAGAAGTGACCCTCTGACAAGAGACTCCCCACCCGCAGGGGTCCGTGAGTCACGGCTGGATTCCAAACCCTACCCAAAAATCTGCGTGTGTAGCAGCCACTAGGCACAGGTCCCCACTCCCCTCCCAGCTCCACCCCTGCCCCCATCTCAGCCCCACCTCCTGCCAGCCCCGCCTTAGGACCAGGCCCATCTCCCCGCACCCCCTGCTCTGCTCTCAGTGCCTCCTATGGCCCTCAGAACTGGGGCCTCAGAGCCCAGCAGTGAATTAATGCGCACCTACTGAGCCCCTGCTGTGTGCCCAGCACCAGGTTAACGACAGGATCATGGTAACGATGGCAAACACATCTCAAGTGCTCTTGAGTGTTTGTCTGCCAAGGAGCTTTCTCATCAAACAGCACGTATTATCTCATTTAAACCTTACATGCCAGTCCAGGCCCTCTTCCCAGGGCCCCAGAACACAGAGCCCATGTAGCCATGGACTGAGGCCCGGGGCTTGTCATCTGTGTGCAACAGGGGAAGGCCCGGTCCTTGTCAACCTCTTCTAGAACAGGGTCCAGAGTTTCCCATTCTTTGGCTTTGGGGGGAAAATAAAAAAGCCACCTCACCAGCAAAGGACTGAAAATCCCAGGCTGCTGTTATCTGCAGTTTACTTAACATGACCTTGAGTAAGAATAAGAGATTCCTTCACAAACCCTTTAGACAATGGCTGTCTTCCAAGTGCTGAACGTTCGCTCACAGCCTTTAAATACAATCAATCAATTCAGGCCTGGCAACGCGGAGAGTCGCCCTGCAACTTCAGCCAACTCCCCCCAGCTGGCAGGTACGACTGTTACCCCCATTTTACAGATAAGGAAACTGAGGCACCAGTGCTGGCTCCAGGGCTCCAGCCACAGCCACCCAGGGTCACATGGCTGGTACGTGGCAAGGGCAGGATTTGAACCTGCTTCTGTTGACTCCAAACCCCCTGTTCTCGGCCACATGCTCTCTGGCCCCAAGCACAGGGCCTGGACTGGCATGTGCTCTGTGGAGTATTTGCTTTTCCCTTCTCGCCCACACTGGCTTCTCCCGACTGGGCCTGGGTCAGCAGTGCGGGGTCAGGAAGGGGGACAGTCCACCCCCGCCATGGCTGGGAAGGAAGGACCTGTGTGCAGGAGATGGCAGGAGGGGAAGCCAGTGAGGAGAGGGTGCTGGCCTCAAGGCCCCCAGTAAGAGCCGAGCTAGATCAGTACCATCTCCACCCCATGCCTGGCTGCTGTCTTAAGAAGGCCGGGGTGTGATCTGGGAGGACAGGGTCACCAGGGAAGCCACAATGCCGGGGGCCCCCTCAAACCTGCCACTTCCCAAAGAGAAGAACGACCAGCTGGGCAGTGTCCAAAGCCCCAGCAGGCCCCTCAGGGCAGCCTCCCTCTCCAGGAGCCAGAGCCAAGGCCTGCACAGTTACCATGGCAACCACCACCCTCCATCCTGTAGGCCCAGCTGACAGTCATGGTTTCCGTAATCTGGGGGGCTCTGGGAAGGTGGGTGGGGGGTGGGAGTGCTGGGTTTGGCTGGGGCAGCCAAGTTTGTTTTAATTTTTGTCAAATCTGAAATCAGATCCATTTCCCAGGGTGCACCT